CCAGGTTGACCAGGGGGAACCGGCCTGGAGGTCAGTGGAAGCGTGCTCACGAGGGATCAAGGGTTGAGAACTGCGAGATTAAGAGATGTCATTTGCATTTGCGCGAAGGGATCACGGCAAACAGTAGAAAAGGGTTTGTAGCTAGCAGGGGTTCTAGCTTCCTTTGATTGCTGTGAACTTTGGACCATGTGACATTTGATGTCGAGTCGATTGGTTGCAGTTGAAATGAAGAGAAAGGGTTTGAGAGTTTGAGACATGCAGTGGAAGTCGAACAGTAGCACAGGGATTGTATCTAGCAAGGGTTGGCTAGTTTCCTTTTTACTTGCTGTTTGATGCTGTGTGAAGCTTTTGGCACGTTGAATGTGACAGGTTTTTGTCTTCAGGAATCTTCGTTTGCTTGACCTGTCAGGTGACCACTTGAGACCTTGTATGGTTTCAGGGTCCCAGTGATGACAGAAGCAGAGGCGAAGAGCTGGCTCCGCGCAGCTCTTTGAAGCCCTGCTGTCTGAGGGACCTTGAATCCTTGTTGCTTTGCTTGCTTGGTTGAAGCATGGTTGATTGGTTGATCTTGATTCGAACTTGCTTGAAGCTCGTTGTTCTCGATTCGTTGACGTTTGATCGACCTGGAGACCATTTTGAACCACAGGAGTTGAGATCTTAGTTGATGCTCGAACCTTAGTTGCTCAGAGAAAACGAATTGAAGAGAAGAAGAAGACAGGAAGACCAGGAGAAGGTACGAGGTGACCCAAGAAGGGGTGTGAAAAGTGTGGGTAGCACGCCTGTACAGTGTGTGGATCACCTAGTACCTCTTTGTAGTGGAACTTTTTCGTTTTCTGTCCTTGGGGTTGGAGCTGAGTAGGGATCTTCCTTCCCGGAGTGTGTTTGCTTTGACCACCTTAGCAGGACTAAGTGGAATGTGACCAGAAGTGGCTAGGAGCATGTCTAGAGAAGCCCTAAGTATAGAGCTGTAGTGCTTGAGATGAGCTGTGTATAGCCTAGCTTTGCTTGAGAGTGTTTGGAGATGCTTTCTTGTACTTTTAGTATGTTTTGGACGACTGTGACCAGTCAGACCTCTTCAGAGAAGAGAAGGACGAACAGACATACAGTCAAACCGACTGTTATGTTTGGCTCAAGAGCGGGATTCGCAAAAGGGTCGCACACGCTTCCGTGTTTTCACATGCTTCCTGGAAGCAGGCATTGTCGCGCTCTTCCTGCCGCCAGATTTTAATAGGATAGGATCGGCCGCCTGTGTGAGCTGCCAGCAACTGCAAACTGTTGACTTGTCCCAAACGGACGTCTTTGAAATTTTGGGCTCAACCTTTGCATACTGCTCACAGCTGCAGCAACTTAGCCTTCCCCGAAATTTACGAATCATTGAGCAAGAAGCCTTTCTCAAGTGTACCTCGCTGCAAGAAGTCTGCATCCCACCATCCCTGCTTTACATTGCGCGGCGTGCTTTTGCAGGTTGCACGCAGCTTCGAGCAGTTCGTAAAAAAGGGAAAAGCAAGACCTGGCGAGGTACATATGCCCGGCTCAATGCATTTGACAAATGTGAGCAACTAGACAAGCCCAAGTGGCCCCGATTCCTGCCGCCAAATGCCAAAGACCAATGGAGAGAAGACTTTCAAGAAGGCATACCCTAGGCTGGCAACGCTCTGACAACAGCGGGGGTGCATTTCTCCGCCGCTTCGATTATGCGTGCCAGGCTTAACAAAGCCCATGCAGAGTCACCATTTCGTCCTCACCATCTACGATCCAGTGAGCCTACAGGAATGAGAGCCTTAGCTTCTCGTTCCCAGAAGGCGGGCGGCCAGGGGGAACCTTAGTTCTCTCTGCGGCGGCCATGCCATGACCATTTTTGTACAAAGAGGCACAAGCACCATGCTAGGATAGGTCCACGGTTTCACCTGTTTCACACGGGCCTTGCGTGTAACAGAAGGATGTTTTCACGTTGGCGCCTCTCTTTCTTTCAGGAACAGAACATACCTCTTTGGCACTTCTTGGATGCCAAGGGGTGCAAAGGAGACCTCCCTTCGGGGGGGAATGCAGCACCCTAGTCAGCAAGCTCTCTTCGTTTGCTTCTGCCTCCACTGCCTGACCACTGATATGCCTCTCGCTTCATTCGTGCAATCAGTTGAAAGGGTTGTGCAACGAGAAGGGACTTTTCCACGGCATGCTAGGCAGGGCAACAACTGATCTCCTTGGGCAAGAATCAGACCTGCTGACAAACAGAGCAGCTCCTGCAAAGCGCCCAATTACCACGTTCGCCACTCGATGCAGTGGCCGTTTGGTCACAGTTTTGAGGGTGGAGCGAAGCCCTTTTGACTGGCGTCGTTGCACTCCGCTCGTGCGCTGACCCTTCTGACCGACCTTCGTAGCGAACTCAGGCCCATAGATAGTTTACAGCCAACTCTTCTCACCTGTCTCACCTTCGTACAGAGGAAACACTTTTAGGGGGAGGAGTGGCTACCTGCAGAATGCAACAGAATACAACGGCCATCATACAGTGAGTTTCATATTTCACAGGCTGCGCTGCTGAATCCTGTTGTCCGAATGCTTGGAGTAATCGGAAGCAATCCGCAGTGGTTTTCCCGTATACACGCCTGTTCATTTCTGCAGAGGACAAGGTTGACTCGGCACCGTGGGAATGCCTGCCTCGTAGTAAACTGCACAACGTCGGACGCTTTGCTTCAGCATGGTCCAAGTGCAATGCCCAGCACAGCGGTCTAATACCAGGCCGCTTTGCAACACTAAATGAAGTGTGTACGATGACAAACGATGACAAACGAAGAAGAACAGAGCTTGCACTGTCCAGCAGTACTGAGAGGCCTTTTTTCTTAATTCGCAGCCCCGGGTTTCACCCTACTCATTCTTTTTGGTCTACAGGACCCCTTTTGAGTTACATACGGCCTGGTTGCTTCGCGGTCGTGGTTTTTGTTTGTTTGTTTTGTGTTTGTTTGGTTTGTGTTTGTTTCGTTTCTTTTTTGGGTTGCTTGTTTTGCTTGTTTTTTTGATGTTTTCTGCACCTCAACCTGGCTAGTAACTCTCACTTCACTAGCATAAGTTGACCTGTGCAACCTCTGCACACATGGCGTCTCCACCCGTGCAAAAAAAAAGTCAAAAATCTTCTAAGAAATGATTAAAACTGTGACCCAACATCTACTGTTCGAATGCTCAAACCTTGGCATGAAAGCAGGCTCTCCCGTCATCAAGTAGACTTTGTCAGGGGTTGTTTCCGCCGGTTCTTTTTTATTCCATGTGACCAAAATGTTGCTTCACTTGAGGTTTCTCTTTGGCTTTTCTGTTTCTATTTTGTTCCTCTGTTTTTTTCAGCGACAAGAGCTGGGCGGACCTTAATTCGCAATGAAAGGAAACATTCAGTCTGGGGCTGGGGTTGGTTCAGGGTTTGATTTCTTTGGGTTTGTTTGGGTTTGGTTTCGGTTTGCTTTAGGGCTGGATTTCTTGCGGACTTTCAATTGTCTCACCTTGGACCACAAGGGCGCTTGGTTTAGGGCGTGGTTTTTTTGGGGTTTGGACAGTTTGGTTCTGGTTTCCGGTTTCCCTCCATCAGGTTTGTTTAGGCTTGGCCCAGGGCTTGATTTTTTTGGTCTTTGTTTGCGCTTGCTTCAGGGCTTGATTTCTTTGGAATTTTGTCACAAGTTTGTGTGGCTTGGTGTGGGGTTTGGTTTCTTTAGGGTTTGTTTGGGCTTGGTTGGGGTTTGGTTGGGCTTGCTTCAAAGCTAGACTTCTTTAGGGTTTGTTGGAAGATTGGGTTTGCTTTAGGCATCACAAAGGCATTGCCTGGCATTGTTTGGCAATGCTTAACTCGGATTGGCGCCTGTTCTTGCCTTTCACATTTTTTTTCCTTCTGTTTATCAGCCTGGGGTGATGTTGGAAATGTTTTTCGGTTTGTTGTTTGGTTGTTTTGGGTTGTTTATGTTTTGTTTGTGCGTTTTCTTTTATGTTGTGGCTTGTCTCTTTCATGACTGGTCTTCTATTGTTTCACTTCGTCTCAGGAAGTCTCAGTTTTGCAGCTGCTGGCCGCATCCTTTTGCAAGGGCAGCGCAGGCATACAGACAATTCTCGAGAACAGTTGTGGCATGCTCGTCGTGTTTAATTAGGTGGGATAGTGCTGGTAGATTGCATACATTTTCGCAAATTTGAGGGGCTGAAGATAACACTTGGAATGAACAACTGAGATGCACATTCCACAAACGTTTGATTTGAACGGACTCCCTTTTTAAGAGCGAAGAAGAGAGACAAAGGCTTTGCACAAGATTTTGTGTTGCATGGACATTGATGGGTGTTTGTACAGCCATCGTGGCTGAAGATCCGGGCTGCTCAGCACAATTGCCAGGGTTTCTGGCTTTGATGTTGTGGTTCCAGAGGAACAGAGCCTGAGTCGGGCAAGAAGGGATCCTTTTTTCCGACAGCCGAGTTTCTGTTTTTATTTCCGGATGCCACGATGGTGTTTCGTCCTTTCGAATCCTTGTTTCGGTTGGCACGAGGACAATGAAACGTCGGACTATTCAATACTTGTTTCCTCACATGCTGATACGCACTTACAAACCATATCAACTTAACCGGTTTTCTGAGAATTTGATTTGGTGAACACTAAGATTTGGTCTTCTGTGGATCTTTGGCTCAGCGATGCCAAAAGCCGGTGGCAGAACGTAGGACGTGAGGTAGCGCATTCATTTTTCTTTTAACTTTGAAAGTGGCAACTGTTGGGGTCGCAACCCGAACTGTCCGCTGCTGATCCAACATGGCGTCGGGGCTATGAGCTCAGTGAGAAAGAGGTGAGAAACCGCGAAAGGAAGTATGTGACAGTTGGTGTATTTGCTTTTCTTGTGTTGCAGTGGGTGTCCACGAGGCCATACTGGCTCAACCTAAGTCGAGGTTACATATTTGGGGTGGAGCGTCAATTGCGAAAATAACATTTGCTTCATACCTTTAGTAGTTTGCACAATTACACTACATTAAAACTGAATCAGACCGACAGTTGTGAGCTCCGCCCCTGAATGCGCACAGAAACAGATGATGTACTGGAAAGCCGTCCTTTTGGCCCGATATGCTGTGATGACCTCAGATGCTCTGATCGCCATGCAGTGGTGATGGATTCGTTTTCAGAGCAGATGTGTTCCGAGGTTGCTACGACCATCAACAGCAGGAATGTGCATGAAACGCATTTGAATGATGAAGCATCTGAGCTTAACATGCTGAGGTAGAAACTCAGGGTACGTGAACATCGTACCCCTGAGTGGGTGTGGTATTTTCTGTGGAGATCTTGGGGTACACTGTACGCAGTCTTGCTCTTTCACCTTCAGCCCCACTGATGGGTGAATTGTAGATGTACCAACCAGTGGACCTTTTCTTCAATAGTTTGATTGAGCCCAATCCCACGGTACCGCAGCAAAGAGACAAATCATAGAGTTAGCAGTTGGCGTTTCATTTTCCATTCATCAATCCTCAAAAGGATGCCAAGGGCCATCTGCGTTTTTGAGTTTGTCAAGTGCTCAAACCGGACAATACGAGAATACACGCACAGAGGGTTTGATGTTAGAATCCAAGGCAGGCACAGGAGGCGTATGGGCTCCGAACTTCAACGACATCCTTCGACTTGAAAAAGATCATCCACACGGCACGCACGGTGCCTTCTTGCAAGAGGGGCCAACTGTGAGCAAGCCTTTGTTCCGCGGGGCACCTAGCGTGAAGTTGAGAAGACAGATGTTAAACTTAGAATTGGGTAGACAAGGGTTACTCGATGGCTCAGGTCATGCTGTGAATCCAAGCCCAAACATGGTCTGGATTGGAGAACTCTTTGCAATCTTGGTCACCATCGTGCTAGTTCTTTTTGCAACGCAGCTCCAAGTTTCGCAATACTTGGCACTGCGAAAGAGGCAGACAGACAAAGCTTTGAAACTGGCATATCCCTGGAGATGCTTGCCATCTGCTGTCGACATCATGGAGATTGGCCCAACCTATGCCACAAATTTTCAAAGTGGTCTGAAGCAATCATTCGCTGCAAGGGGTTTGTCACCTGAAGCAGACAGGATTGCCTTGATGTCCTTTCTCATACCAGCAGAGGCTTGGGTTCTTTAAAGCGTTCTAAGATTTTTGCGGTGACCGGAAAGTATTGAGTTTGTATCTTCTTTGGCATTCTCCCTTTCCAGGCTGCTGGAAAGAAGCAACCTCGAGCGCTCATAGAAAGGCACAACCGAGTGCCGGCAGGCTGTCTGGGAGGGAAGCGAGCACTCGCGAAGCATTTGAAAGACATCAAGCTGGACACCTTGGCACCCATGACCTTCCTGAGCCCTTTGGCTTTGCGGAAAGCCTTGGAGCCTCGGGTGCTTCGACGCTTTAAGGAAAGCTTGTCTTTTGCAGACGAATGGTATGCATGAATGCATGGCAGTTGCTCTTGGGTGAGGACCGTGGAATGATCTAAGGTGAAATTCGTCGGATTTGTGCAAGGGATTGTTTCAGATGCACGGGCGGAAGGACTTTGGTTTCTAAAGCACTCGACGATGGATCGCAATGAGGGCGTGTCGTGTTTCAAAGGTGCCTTGGAGAGCATGGGTTGCTGCAGATGGGCCAAAGTAAAGCGAACCGGTCCGGGAGTTCGCCGTCACTCTCCCCATGGCAGGTGTGCGGAACTTGCTGGCGCATTGGGACAAGATGTCTAGAAGCCAGAGGGTGCTCTATGTTGCTCAGGCGAAAACGGATACTGCAGCGTCATAAGTGTAAAGTCAAACCAGGATTTTTGACACTTCCGGGACACATTATAGATAGAGACAGAACGGCCTTCCAGACAGTCCTGAATCCTAAAAGGGGTCCGAATAACTATAAATAACTTTCTGTTCAACAAACATGGAATATATATATATAGTACGCAACTCGTGGGGAAGATGGTCCATCGTTCAAGTGGACTCTGGTTGATCTGAAAAGCTGCGAGATCTGGCAGGCAGAAGTCCCTCGACCAATGTTGATGGATGGCCGGAAGATGATGGTACGAGCGTACGTTCCATGGTCCAAATTACTGGGTTGAGATAGGAATTGGACATAGAGGGTTGAGCCATTGTCACGAATTCAATCCCACTGTGGAGAATAGTATTTTTTACAATTTGTACAATGCATTTGTCATGACTTCGACAAGCACGGCACTAAGGTAATCACCTTGCCGGGTGGCCGGTGCTTCATGCACCGTGAGCTGCTGCTCAAGGGCCACCCGCAGCCCTACGATCCTTCAGATGCCGACCCGCTTCGACACGTGGTGTCATGCGTGAAGCCTCTTTGATGCAGATGATCAGCAGGTTGCTTTAATTTTTGTGTTTCGGACATCGAGACCAAAGCGACCAAAGCTAAACCATAAACAAGTTTTCGAATTTCAGGTACGATGGTGTGATCTCTGGGAGAGGTACTGAGTGGCCACACTATGAGAAGGCCGACAAAGTGGTGTTGGGATTGCCACTCTCCACAGGGCCTGTAGGAATTGGGCCGCTGGCTCTACAGCACAGAACATCGCTGCAGCTCATAAACACGACATTTGCATGGACATGCTGAGAGGTGTGGCCAAAAATATCCAAGATGATGACGGCGATCCTGGGACCATCTGCAGTTGGAAATGGTTTCTCGTATGCAAGATGCATATTCAAGGAAACCAGTCAACTTGCAATCAAAGTACGTTTGCGATTCTCTGTCAGGAAGACTGCCTTTCACACTACGTGATGACACCATGCTTGACCTTGTTTGCCATCGAATTCAAGATCGGTTTCAGGATGTGGATACCTCCGAAGCCTGTTTGTCACTTGAGAGATACTCTTAAGGAGTTAGGACACTGCTGAGGGCAGAGATCTTGCACCGCCCGTCGACAAGACACTATTTAAGGCATAACGAGTCTCCTCCTCCATCTAGCGCAACAGGATCGGACTTTTTTGCAGCAGCCTTTCAGGACATTTATTCATGGCTCCGGTGGGGGCGCAAAGCAGGTGCTTTGCTCTACAACCTGTTTGGGGTTAGTGGCCCAGTTGTTTATTCTTTTTTTTTGTTTCCGTGCTTTTGCTCGCAGTTGGCATGTCTTCAGGTTGACATCATCGTGGATCAGGCTTGGAATCTCAAGCTTCTGTGAGCTCCACTCAAGTATATAATCATGTGAATTCGGTTCCAAGCCTCCAAAGGGACTGGTGACACAAACGTGAATTTCCAGTTGCAGGACTTGCGGCCGTGGCTCATAGAGCTCAACCCTGGACCAGCAATGGGCATCGATCAGAGGGCGCGGCGCCGAGATCAAAATCGGTTGATGGGTTATCAAAGGCTGTCTTGATGACCTGGAAGGGAAGCGGATGAAAGTTTCCACATCAACAAGGTTGTCTTGTTTGGATGCGGAAACCCAAAGAGTGAAACATGACTTTCTTTGCCCAGATGGTTTGGTGGTTTTCCCCAAGGATCCACTGGCTACACAGCTCCGAGCTGATGTCATGGAGGACACCGTGCATGAAGACCCGGATGCTGGTGCAGTACCAACATTCGAGCAACACAGCATCTGCAAAAAAGCAGGCATGTGCTGGCGGGGTGTCTGAGAGCACTGAGACCACTCAGCGCCTCGGAAACACAGACCCAGTGGCGTTGGAGAAGTAGATTCGCCCAGTGGGCTGATTGGGTCTCCTCACGCAACATATGCCGATTTGGTTGGCAGGATCTTTGCAGGCTTCTGCTAGACCCACTTCTGCGCACTGTGCAAGTATCGCAGAAAAATGAGGACCAAGGGATGAGTCACCTGCTTATGAACTTGTCAAGAAGTCCACACCCTGCCATACACCGGTCCATGTAGTGGCAAGTGCAGCAGTTTTGGCTGCCGGCTTCCAAATGTCTTTGTCAGTTGCTAGTTTTTCACCCTTTCTTAGTGATTTACCAGTTTGTGTTTGTGGATGGGCTTGAGAAGAGCAAAGATATACTGTTTACTTTCTCAGGAGCAGCGAGCCAGGCTATTCGCTGAATTCCTGATTCTTTTTGAGAAAGAATGACACACTGATGGAACATTGTGGTTGAAGGAAGAATGACCAGGAGTTTGTATTTGGGTGTGTTTGCTCAAAAACGAGGTGTTCCTGCCCGTTTGCAGGTGGAGTTCAATGACTTTGAGTGACTTGCACAAATTAGGTTCAAGTTGTCTCAAAACTGTTCGCTTAGTCTCTCCAAGACCTAAGTGGACCAAGGAAAGGATGGGTCCTGCAGCAGCTCAAAGGCGGCACTACGTGGATTTGTGGAGATTTGATGCGGCAACAAAAAGGGTCAAAGATCTGAGAGAGCTGTGCTTGGCCTGCTTGGCGCTCACCAAACATATTTTTAGACTGAACCGTTTGGCATATACGGTATAGAGATGTATAGAGTCTAGAGTCTTTTCATTCCTCCAGACTGAGTACACCGGACTACGAGGTCCATCAAATGTATGGCGTGCCCGGACTACGAGAGCCCAGACCGGGAGGCGCGCGAGGCGCGTCTCAGACGGTCGCCGCGATGTGAAGCTCTGAGGCGTACCGAGAGCACTGTGCGACGAAATGGCATCAGTCGGGTGCCTGGCAAGCGCAGACAACGAATCATTTGGAGAGAAGCTGGCACACTTGGCATGTGGCTCTTTTAGTGAGGTACAACACCAACGAAAGAATGATGGGAAGGCCAAAGACTTCAAGATATAGTGCTTTTGGAAGTGCACATGCGCACTGTGGGTCAAGCTTACTGATGGTGCTAGGCGCACTCTAAGTGAGGAGGAATACTTGGCGAAAAGCAGGGACTCCAAGTTTCTGCAACAGATCACCAGTTGCAGATCCATTCCATTCCAAAGTAGGAACAAGAAGCTACTAGGGGCTCCTGGCCTTACTACTAGGAGCAAGGACGCTACTAGGGGCTCCTGGCATCGCTACTAGGAACAAGAAGCTGCTAACCACGCTGTTTAGAGTCGAAGCCTTGCGGAACATGACTGTCAGTTGCTCCACCGCCACCAGTGGCCCGAAGCCCGGTGGAATCGAACGAGGGAGACTCCAGGGACCTGCTGCCGTGCGGTTTGTGCGAGGCTCCAGAGACGAAGGTGGAAGAAATCAAGGAGAGTGAGGCAGGTCTAGTGAGTCTAAGTGGTTTCTGCGTGGGTGGTTGGTGGCTCAAGGAGGGCGCTGCAAGTCACACGATGTCCTGCAAGGCTCAGGGTGAACACGTGTCAGTCTGTGTGGTCATGCCCTTGGGCAGAGAGTGAGGGACTAGTGATGCGCATGAAAAGAAGCAGCAGCTGTTCAACTGGAACTCCAAGGTCTTCAGACATAAAGAAGAAAAGTGGAGTCACATCTTCAAAATTCCCAAAGGCTGAATTATTGTCATTGCTTTGCTTGATCCATGCATTCTGATGGTCTCTAGCGAAGTTCTGAAAGGAAAGAACGGGACCCCACTTTTGTTTCAAAGGGGTTGCTCTTGAGGTACAACTGTGATGGACTTGAAGAAGAGCATGGCAGGGTTCCATGGACGGATCTCCGTTTCTTTCTTTTTCTACATTGCAATCTGCACATCAAGCTTTGCAGGTAAAACCCAGCAGTCCGAGTGATGATGCATGGCCCCAGTTAATGCAGCAATTGAAGCATACACAACGTCTAGAGTTTCGATTAGCAATCGAACCACAAGGCTCTCCTCTTCAGCTTGAAAAGAGGCCACTTCTGCTTTTTCTCCAGCTTTCTACATTGTGCATCTGAGAGATGACTTGTGATTTGCAGGCATGATACGCCCATCCCACTTCGAAACTATTGATCAAGCCGGGATCCTGGTGCACAAAGGCTGCACAGTCATGTCACTAGCACCCCTACCGGCCCGCCTGGCGCCGTTTCGAAGTGCTCGCTAAGGATGAGACTTTTGACTTCTACTTTATTGGAGCGGAGGCGTTTCTTTTATTTTTTTGCAAAGATCGAAGGCACTTGGAAGATCACTGGACCCAGACTCGATCATTAGTACAGCTTCAATTGCAAGCAAGCTCCATACTTCTGTTTGTGCAAGCCTCTCTTGCAAGCACGCTTTCTTTAGCAACACCTGATTCAGAGGCCAGGACTGCAGAATTCATTCAGCCCTAATACCAGGGTTTGTCCAACGAGATTGCAGGTCAACATCCTGAGTAGATGCTTCTCTTAATCAGTGTTTTACCTGGGGACCAGATGAGATTTGTGTTAGACCATCCCCTTACTGGATGGTCCACTGTGGTTCAGCAGGAATTAGGACAACCGTAACCCCTCTATACTTCCCATCAGCCCAACATCAGAGCTTCTCTTTGCCTTAAAAGGAAGGCCGCACTCTACTGGAGAGGGCCCGGGCCCTGAGCATTTGTTATAGTTGCCAGCTTTGAATCGGCCAACCTTGCACCATTGAGGATGAAAGACGCCGAAGAGAAGAGCAGGTCTGATGCTGAGCACATCTTGGCTTTTCTCAGAGGTTGTGTCATTTTGAGGCCTGGTCTCAATGACGCCTCTGCCCGGTCTTGTATTTTCCGTTAATGCACCGGGATCCTCGGCTTCCCACCACGAGATCCCCATCACCCATGGCCAAACGGGCCACAACTCTTTTGCGCCTGCGGAACTGCAGCGGAAAGAGCTTCCGAAGTGGGCCGGGTGGCCGCTGGTGCCTCCTGCAGGGTAGTCTACGCAAGACTGTAGCATCCACCATGTGGCCAGGATTTGATTGGGGGCTACTATGTCGGTGATTTCAGATGTGTTCCTGATCATTTCACAGTGATTGTTTCCGCAAGTTTGACTGCCGAGTGACAGGCTTTTGGACTTCAGCCTTGCATTAGTCTCCGTGGTACATGCACATATTTACATATTACTTTACTGTATATATATATTATATACACATACGCATACATAATTCTGTAAAGGTGCAACTGATGCAACCTCATCGATCTGGCCACAGCAGATGGATGCAACATGTTTGCGTTCTTAATGAGCCTATTCCATTACGGAGCTTGTCTAGAGACATACACTGTTGAGAAATGCATGCTTGGATCCAAATACACATTGGCTGTTCTGCAGTATTCATTGGCATTTGAGCATACACATAGCGCTGAACCTGGACAGCCATGGCATCTACTTTTGATCGCATTTTTGGCTTCGATGAAACCAAAGGCGAACGTTTTCCGGGAAACTGTGATCGGCCTGGTGTTGGTATGTGATCCTTTGTCCCTGAGGACAAAACCATACCCCAAATTTAGGTGTTTCAACCTTGACTAGCAATTTGCACTCATTCCAAACCAATTCTGACATTTTCCCACCGAAGTTGCTGTCGCTGTAAGCTGCCCCATGTAGCCGTTTTTGAACAGTTGGTCTCAGCCACTAACCTTTTCTGAGATCGCGAAGTCGAAAGAGCACCGACCACAAAACGGGTGGACGAAACACAACAAGTTACTTGAAGTTGCCTCGACATAGGGAGGTCCTTGAAGCTTGTGGAGCAGACCCATGTCGTGTGATGTCAGGAGATTTTTTGGTCACAAGACTCCTCGAAAGGTCCGGTGACTCCGCTTGGTGTACGAAATGTGGCGGTGCTGCCGAGCCTTGAACAAATGGAGGTAGATGGAGGTGAGAATCCGCTTTGAATCGGTCAAAACCTGCAGCATTTTGAAGTGATCAGAGTTTTACAGTGTTGTTGTTCACTAGAGGTTTACAGGGACATGGCTTGGACCGCGAAGCAGTTTTCCAGTTCTGGGGGTCAGTTTCTTGTGGAGTTTGGGGTGAGGTTTATAAATCGAATCATATCATTGATGCTTGAATTTGTGTTCTCAATGTGTTTGTTGTTGTTGTTGTTGTTGCGGTAGGTTTTGCTGTAGTGTTAGTCTCTTACTGTAGAAGCACATAAGTATACCATCGGAACCGATGCATTCGGCCTAGTTCTTTTTGTGTCAAGCTTTGGGGCAAGCAACTGCTTTTGAGGAACGGCCCATGGAGCATGAAGACGGAGGAAGAGCCCCGCAAGAATCGCAAGAGTTGGCCGCAGGCAAAACGCCACTTAGTTTGCAGTTTTTTGATGATTTTTGACGTTTCATTTTGTAGCCCATTGCCTTAGTTGGCAGTAGAAGTGAAAGTTGGAAGCGACCAGACAACCTGAGAGTTGGCGTGTTTTGAGCCACGTCCATGTGTCGATTGATTTCATTTCGCATCCTTAGCTTCCAATCGCGTCGCCCAGGTCTTGAGACTGGGCTTTGCGAGGACGAACATGACTTTTGAGACATGCAAGCGCGATGAAGTAGAAACAATACGACTCTTTCGTGAACAGTTGTACACAGTGCTCTATGTTTAGCACACGATAGGTTTTTTAGCACCCCACAAGACATTGCGACAAAGCAAGAGGTTGCAACAGGTAGCAAAATACAATCAAACTGATTTCCCTGGGAAAGAAACTCCACCTTGTTCCGCTGGAACTGGGCAGAATGCTCTGACTATTTGGGATTTATCCTGTCACGAGCGAGATGACCACATCTCCTATCTTGTTCCCATTTTGATTTCTGCGTCAGCATCGCTTTCTTGTGCGCGCGAGTGGTGGAACAGATCCAATACTTAGTGAAGTCTTGTCTTCTGCTCAGATGAAATCAAAAACTCTTCTGCTGTTGGTCTTCCTTCGCCAGGAGAATGCGATTGGTCAGGTCTTGGGTTCTCGAAAGAAGCGAATTCAGGACACGGTTGGATGACCCTGAGCCCGCTGTGTCCCAACCAGTGAAATGCTAGGAGCCAGGCCATGAGAGTGGGGTGGGTGCTGCGTTGTCTCCCCGGCAGCAGGCTCTGCGGTGCGTTGGCACGAGGGTTTGAAGGTGGCACCGAAGTTGACGTCTTTGCAAGGCTTGGTCTGGCGGAAGTCCGAGGATTCTTGGTCTGGTGGAGTTCGAAATGTCAAATGCTCAACTTCTTGGTCATTGCCTAAGGAGCATTCCTGCTGACTCTCCTGAGCCAGGAGACAAGGCGGAGCTCAGGATCTTGCTGACATCCATAGATCTATGCATCAAGTGACCTTGCTAGGACTTGTTTACTCCGAGCGGCCGGCCCCTCCGTCGCAGGCAGGTTACTGAAAGCTGGGTGGAACAGATCCGAGCAATAGAGTATGTATGTAGGAAGTCTCTACGATTGTGACTTGGAGGTTCCCTTCAGTGGACAGGGGCAGCGTTGGGATCCTAGTGCATGCAGTCTTTTTGCACAAAGTGTTTGCGTACTGACTCTTTGATCTTTTGCCCTCGCAACATTTGAAGCATTTCAGCCAAGGTGCCCCTTCCTCCGTGGGTCTCAGTAGGCAGGTGGATGCTGGAGCTTGTGTTCTCGGAAACTTCTTACACACATTTTCACAACTTTCTGGACTTTCATCCTGGAGACTCGAGATATTCTGTGTGCTTTCAATCTGGAGGTGACTGCTCTCCGCCTTCTCCACGTTCCCCTTCGCCCCGGAGGAATCGGTCGCCCCGAGCTGCACGGTCCCCCTCACCGCGCTCTCCATCACCGCGGACGCAGGATCGACGCGCTGCTTGGATAGAAGTGATGAAAGGTCCGGCAGGGGCCGTGGGTGAAAATCCCAGGATGGACCACCAGCAAGGTACTCCTACTGTGGTTTTGGTGGCCCCAAATGGGTGGAGACTAGAGACTAGAGGCGAGTATGAGAAAGCAACAGTGAGTCATGTCAACCTTAAGTTTCCCTATATAAAGACCTAGGAACTTAAATCATTAGCGCCAGCTCTCCTGCGTCCATACTGGTAGCATCTGGTAGCTACTAGCGACTCCCTAGCTACCCTACCTCACCTCTAGCGGCCTACCCCCTTGGGCTTTAGGTGATTGAATGGAGCACTGGGTATGACCTGGACGCGTACAGGTCGTCTCCTTGGAGACGTCAAGGTTTGTGCTCTTCCCAACGTTTCCGTCATGTGCTTTGCACCTCCTCCAGGTGCATCAAAGTCTTCCCAGGGAACGTTCATTACAAGCTCCTTGACAGACAGAAACATGGCACGTGGGTCGTTCCCCACCCGTTTGCTTCACAAAGGAGCTCTTCAGCACTGAACCCTGCGAGAGCTGTGATGGACCTGCACAAGGAGCGAGGGACATCGGCAGACATCGATGGAGCGATTTGGGGCCGACCGTGAGCCGACCATGAGACTGATTGGACACCATGGAGTAGCTTGCAGGAGGAGCATGCCGGGCTGGTTGGACGTGATGGATTGCCCAAGGCTCTGGAATTTGGAGAATCTTGTGCATTTTTGCCGAAGGTGCCGTGACATTGATGTAGCCTGCTTTGGAGGGCAGACCTGCATTCTCTTCCAACTTCCACGGAGATGTTTCTTTGATTTCCCAGGGCGGATGCAAGCGCCATATCTCTCCCAATTCGAGGCATGTGACTGGCTGTTGTCAGATCAGATATTGGTACTTGTTGGGGGACCAATTGATTTGACAAACCACTGGCAGCATTCAAAGTCGGCTTTGACTTCTTGGCTTCTATCGAAGTACAGAGTCACCGTCTCCCTGACCAGGGGCACCGAAGGTTTAATTGTCCAATGCTTAGATTGGAGGGAGCTCAGTGAGACAGCGATGTGGTTGTGGGTCAAAACTATTTGGCTGTGAGTCAGCAGCAGACATCCAAGGTGCTGTAGAATTTTCATTGATGTAGAACTGGTGAACATACATAAATGAACAGAATGCAGTCATTGCTTTCTTTCCTTCATTGTCTTTTTTCTTTTGGGCTGCTCTCACCATGGGTGCCAGAACTGCTAGGCCTTCACACCTCCACCTTCGCCCCAAACGGACGCTTCAAGTCCATCAGCTTCTTCTCCATCTGACAGGGCCTCGGATTTTCCAATGAAGCATGAGCGTCCCAGAGCTTGCTTTTCCAGTCAACAGACTTTGATATGTGGGAATGACTGAATGCCGAATGCAAAGGGAGCACCCAAAATTGGAGCAGGTGGATACGAATCCCAAAGTCAAATCGAGTCCATCTTGGGTTTGTGTTGTATCTACGTTCCCTGCCCTTCACCTGCTCGGGGCCTTTAGTGAGGTGTGGGATTTTGGACTCCACTTGTGTCCCATTGGCCTGAAGGGTTTGCCCGGGAGGCTCGCGAGAACCTGCACAGCTTCCAATCCTCCAGGGCGCCAAATGGAACCCTCTCGCTGCTGTCGCCCATCCCGCGCAAGCGCTTGTAGCTGTACTCAGAGGGCTGCAACGTTTGACGGTTTTTGAGGTGGAGGAACGTTAAACAGAGGCAAGATTGATTCAGATTGACCACTTTCTAGTTTGTGAATCCATTTGATTGCGGGAAGGAAAATAGCTCTGCAGTCTCCCACAGCTGACATGTGAGGCAATCTCCGGAGAGTCCCGTGAGCGAGGCACAACACAGCAATGGCCATCTCGTATGACTCACGACTTGGCGTTTTACTTATTTTTAAACGAAGTGGTAGAGTTGAAGTGTCAGAACTTGGCTGTTGAGTCGCGAACGGGGGTCTTTTGTTCCTCGAACTGCGGAAAAAAGTCGTGTTGGGTGGACTGGGTCTGTCAACTGACAGGAGCATGCTTCAGCGGCTGGAATGGCTTCTCCACGCCGCTTGTCCTGTGCAACTTTGGAAGCTTCAGAGCTCAGCAGTCTCAGATGTCTTTAAGGCTTCTCCTGGGCAGCTGACATGGCACCAGCCTCGCTGTGGAGTGGTGGAGGTTTCTTGATGTTTCCCTTGGCAGGTACCGGATCGCAAGGAGGCGTGGAGGAGATTGATATCCACGGAGCAAAGTCTGGCAGTGATGGAAATGCAAAAAAAAGAACAGGTTGGTATGGGTCAAAATCTGAAGGACCCTTTTGGTGACTCCCAAAATCACAAAAAGCCCTCGTGTTGGGAGTCCTGAGGTTTTGACCCGGATCCCAATCTTAGGAAACCAGAAACGACAGTCGAAGTTGACAGGTTCGCAGCTTTTCGCCCCGATCGCCTGCCAGAGATGCCGTGTCCCCGCGGAGCGATGCTGGCTGGTTTGTGGGAGCTGTTGGGTGGGAGCGGGGGATGAAGACGGTGGAACCATGTGGAACCACCTGTCGGGCCGGTGCCAGGTTTGATCCGCAGCCCGGCATCCTTGGGCACCGGTCTGTATGCTGAGGCGGGAGATAGAAAGTGCCTCAAGTCATTTTTATGGGACACTTGGATGGGTTGGGGTCGATGTTTGTGCCAGGAACCACAGTCCATGCTCGAGAACTTCTTGGGCGCACGCAAAGGAGAGATGCAGAGCAAACTGAAAATCCAAGTGAGATTGTGGACTTGCACCCTTGACCCTTGAACCGGTTTCACAGGTGCTGGACAGGCCTTGAGCTGCTGGCTCTACGGTGCAAAACAGCATGCACAAGTTTCTTAGGTCCTTAGAGCTCCATTGTTTATAGTGGCAGCAGACCCCAGAACCCATAGGGGCCTTTGCGACTTTGCCGGCTTGGACTACGCCCCGCACTTCGTGGCAGCGTTTGACTTCGAGCTGTGCTTCTTCTTCTTCCTGCTCTTGAACGACTTAAAGCCTCCCCCAGCTCAAGGCAGTTCCAGGTTGCCTGGTGGACTACTGGCTACTTCGACTTGTACTTGGGGTTGGACAACATGACTGCCAAGAAGAATGATGAGCGGGGTGTGGACATCTATATCCGGTTTGAGATGGATGCAAGGAGGCCGTCCAACATGGTGCACTCGAGTAGACCTTGGGAAGAGGACGAGCTACAACCTTGCAGCTCGCTTTGCGATAACAAGACAGAACACCAGTGCGAAGTTGAGAGCCTTGGACTATGCTGCATGTGAACACCACCTTCCTTGATGGCCTCTACGTTGCCCAGGTTCCGCAATTCCTTTGTCTACCTCGTCTACAACCTCTTCATGGCGCCGTGGTGGTGATCTTGGGTGCCTGTTGAAGTGCAGACTTCATGCCTTCACATGCAGAGTGGAGAGCAGCAACATGGAGCTTGTCCAGTCGAGCTCGTTTCACTGGTCGTTAAGCACCATTTTGATCCTGTGGACGGTCGGCTCCGTAGGTCCCTTGAACTTTCTGTCCATGTCCTCTGCTTCCCTGGTCCACGAGAACCACGGTCACACTTCAGAGCATTGATTTGCTTCGCAAAGGGTCACCAGTGCTTTCAACGGTCCATCCACCTGCTCAAGCTGATCATCAATCACCTTGCATCCGAAGCCCTTCACAGCCTTGCAGGCTTTCATCGTCTCCTCCACCAGTTTCGTCATCTTCCTCGTACTCGGTGTCTTTGACTGAGCCACCGAAGCCCTTGGTGGATAGGAGCCTGACAGAGAATCTGCAATTGCGCGCGGGTCTCGCGACTTTGTCAATCCCTTGTTGGGGACGGATGTCGGCAAAAGCTTGCAGAGGCCACTTTCAACTTCTCCACTAAGAGGGCGTGTTTGAAATACTTTGGAGACGAATGATTCCCCTGAGCAAGATGAAGGCCGGACGTTCTACTTTTAACGCAAGCCTGTGCGTGCGTGGCCGGAACTCATTTCAAAGGCTTAGCGTGGAACATGGTTGCGCGCTACGCCTCGGAGCTCATCAGCTCAAGCACAGCTTCAAGGATGGATGATGACGCCTCTTCAGCTCAACTGCGTCACTCCTGCATCGAAGCCCTGAAAAAACCGCCCGCTAAAGGCAACTGTGGATTGTGGAGGATCGTGGAAGGGTTTTGGCGGGAGAGGTGGACACGGCCTGTGTCCTGTGTCTTGCGTAGCTGGACATTTGAGGATGGCCAGTTGAGGAGGACCACGGCTCCTGGCGCGCAAAATGGTGGCGTTCTGGGTGATGCGCTGCTGTAGTCAACGCGTCCCTCAACTACGGAGGTGACGAGACAACTGTTTACGTGGATCCCCAGAAGGGATTTGGAGTCTGGCTGAGGCTCCGAGAGAGTGTTGGCCAGAGAGCAACTTCGCGTGTAAGCAGCTTCCATTCTAAGCCGATTCTGAGCGCGCGACTGTCTGTACAGTACTTCCAGTCAACAAGTCCTTCAGGAGGCGAAGAGGCACAAGGACCTTGCCTTGCGTTTCAACAGGCCAGTTGATTACGGCCGCGGCGCGCAGCCAGTTGTGCTACGCAGCAAGGAAGGGAAGCCAGCGCCTCAACTCGCTAGACTTCAGAAGTCGCAGGCTTCAGCGAGTTTGCAGGAGGATTTTTTTGTAAGGGCTTCGTTGCAGAGCTCCAGAACATGAACCTGAGACAGGTTTCTTGGAGGTGTGCAAAGTGCCTTTGGTTGGTGTGACTGACGCTGGACGCCAGAACCAAGATGATGGACAGCAGCGCACTGCGAACGATGTTGATGAAACTGGAATGGTCGATCGAGTACAATGACATAGTTTCACAAAACAGACAAGAAGACAGCAAAGTCGCCGATGTGGTGCATGACTTGCCAGGATGTGGAAGATGACCAAGTCGGCGCTTCCCGGTGGCTTGACCTGGCCATTTTGGCTCAGGCCACTATCCTCCACTGGACTTTTGTCATGGTGGGGACTTGGCGGTGGATGCCTTGCCGGGGCCTGGGATATGTTCCCCGCGGAGGGGGCGGGTTTGGCCATGGCGCGTGTTACGGAAGTGAAGGATTTCTTTGGGGTTCCGGATGCCCTGTGGATTGCCTTTTGTTTGGAAGTGGGCGATGGGCGACGACTTGAGGTTGCTGGCCGCTTTGCCGGCTCAGGTGGTGGCGGCCTCCTTGGATCAGGCAGCTCCATGGCCCATGGCGCGCACCCTTTGACTGCTGTCCAGGCGGCCCACTTGGGGTTGATGTGGAAGTTAGCAAAAAGGATCACTGCCTTAGCAACCATGCCGGTTACGCCCAAGACGAGCAACAGTGGGCCACCAGCCACCAACTCGAATGAAACGCATCAAGTTGATTTGACCGCTAGCTGGGGCAAGAGGAGACTTGGTGGAGCTCAAGGTGGCGAAGGAAAATCGGGAGAAACACACCAAGAAGCTCCAACGAGAAGTCACTGCTTTGAAAATGGCACAAGACAAACTCGAAGCCTGGGTGAAACAGTGGGATGCAGTGGCAGACAGAACATGGGGCCACTACCACCTGTCATAGTGCCGAAGTCGGGCCTGACCCACGAGAACATCCGACAACCAGTGGCTTCTCCGGTCACGAGTTGGCATCATCGAACTTCAGTTTCGGATATGGCAAAGACAGAGTGACTTGCCAGAAATGCTTGAATCCAGGCCTTGCGCAATGAGGTGATGGCTAGCAAGGCTGGAGCTTGAAGATAGCAACCGGCAAGGTGACCGACCTGAAGGTGTGAAGACCCGACCAATGCCTGACAAAATATCGGAGGTTGTGCTTGACCTTGTCGCACAGGAAAAACCTCAGGGTTGATCCATAGTTTTAATATCCCCACCCTGTTACTGAGCTTTCGAGGGGGGGGACCTCAAAAATGTAACTTACATTTTTTGGGGGGGACCCTAAATGTAACAACCCCCCCAGGCAAGATTTCAGGGTCTCTGGAGGGGGGGAGGGGGCCTATAAAATGTAACTATGGACCTCCCAGGGCCTGTGTTACATTTTTGCCCCCCCCCCCCGATGCCTTTTTTTGGGGGTGGAAGAAATGTAACAAGATACCTCCAAGGTAGTCTCACAGGTGTATAGTTACATTTGTTCTCCCCCGCTTTTAGCTTCGTGGAGCTTGCATGTGTATGTAGAGCATTTGGCTCCACGATGGCACATGCCGTTGAGAAAGACAATACCGAATTGGACTAAACGAGATTTTCAAAGATAGAATAGACATGGTCAACTCATTATTTTGTTTGGCTCTGGCTGGCAGGGATAAGGCTTGGTGATGCTTGGGAGGTGAAACATTGGTGGATCAGGCAACAGACAAGCAGGTAAACATGCAAGTTTTCAAGCCCCGGACAAACAGTAAGTTACATTTATTATGGTCCTTTTGTGAAGTCTTTTTTCTTTTTGAGCTTGGGAGGTGTGAGGCAGGGGGTTTGTAGTGTGGTGGGCCAAAGGATGCTGGAAGCAAACCCTCCAGTGGCGCACAGTCCAGGGAACCATATGTGATAATGGAGTATTTCATGCCTACCCGGAACTCACTTACATTTTTTCTTGTCCTGTTTGTACTTCCACAGTAGGAATTGGACCAGCTGTGGCCGGCAGGGAGAACGCTGGGCAGTGGTTGGGTGATAAAAAAATGTAACTAAGTGCGCCCCAGGCAACAGACAAGCAGGTAAACATGCAAGTCTTCAAGCCCTGGACAAACAGTAAGTTACACTTATTATGGTCCTTTTGTGAAGTTTTTTTCTTTTTTGGGCTTGGGAGGTGTGAGACAGGGGATGGCCAAGCATTTCTTGTAGTGTGGTGGGCCAATGACTGAGAGATGCTGAAAGAAGGATGCTGGAAGCAAACCCTCCCGTGGCACACAGGACAGGGAACCATATGTGATAATGGAGTATTTCATGCCTACCCAGAACTCACTTACATTTTTTCTTATCCTGTTTGTACTTCCACAGTAGAAATTGGACCAGCTGTGGCTGGCAGGGAGAACGCTGGGCAGTGGTTGGGTGATAAAAAATGTAACTAAGTGTGCCCCAGGCAACACACAAGCAGGTGGGCACTTGCGAAAAGCGCAGAGGGAAAAACTGCTACAGCATGCTGCAGTTTATGACCTTCAAGATGTAAGTTACAGTTGCAGGCAGACTGCCTGAAAATTGTAACTTAGATTTTTTGCAGATTGTTACATTTTCTGCCTGTGGATGCCAGGAAATTGTAACTTACATTTTCCAGGGTTTTCTGAGAAAGTGTAACTTACATTTTCCAGGCACCCTCGAACAGGAAAATGTAAGTTACATTTTTTCAGGTCCCCCCCTGCATACTGGGTAGGGATGTTTTAATGCAGGATCATGTGTAAACACGTGGGCGGTACACTACAGTCCATCCGCTATTTACAAGTTACCGGCCACAAATCAAATACTTTCACAGAACGGAAGTTCCCGTACTTTTTAAAAGTCAGTCTTTCAATCTTTTGGCCTTTGGTTTGCGGGTGTTTCTCCTATTCAAGCCTTTCTCGTTTGAGCCACTTGCAGACTGCAGTTGTTGTTCCTTTGAACAAATCGGTTGTTTTGTGCAACACAAGCATACGCATCTTGCAGTCACGGAGCTTGGCCATCAAACATAATTTTTGTGTGGCAGCATCGGGGTTGCAGGAAGAGTTTCAACATCTCCTGAAGGCTTTCCCCTTAGCTACACAAAAGCTCTTCCCATTGATGGGTACGAACCGCGCGTTGCACGTTTCTCCAGGTCCTTCCGCCCCTTCACGTGCTTCGCCGCCAGCTTCGTCCCCTTCAGGAACGCTTGCTGAGAGCTTTCTATGATCACTCACATGATCAGGGTCATTCGGATGTTGAGTCATCGAAGGTGAAACAGCTTTGGGATTTGGTAGCCTGTCTTGGGGAAAAGTCGCAGGCCTGGATGTAGCCAACATTTTGGTTTAGTTGTTTAGCTTGCTGCACAACCCGGAATTCCCAGCTGGGGGCTATGGCCTGGATGTAGCTTCTCGCCAAGCTGTCGTGAAAATCTCAGACTTGGAGTGGAACCTTTTTCTGATGCAAACTCGTCGCAGCACGGCCGTCCCAACCGAGGGTGGACTGCATGGTTCTGGGGCCTTCACTCAGGCGCTGATGCCAAACACCAAAAACAACAGAACGGCTCTCCAGACAAAATGAGTGATTGAAGGCCGTGCGCACCACCAGGGCCGATGTCACTTTCAAGGACCGCGACAGGAATCGAAGGGACACGTGTATGGGGGGAGCATGAGTTTTCAGTTCCCCCCACTATGTCCTTGCCTTTTCTTTGGAGCGTGGCGGGACTCACACAAATGTGAAAGAGACTCCAATGCCTCGACTCCGGGTCTCCAGGAACCCCTTTTCCGTCACCGAGAGAAGGTTCTTGAGCACCGTGCGCAATCGCCACGACGTTGGAGATAGGCACGAGATGCTTCATGCTTTTGCAACTGCTTACAGTTATTTTTTGTGGATACACCAGGGACTGTAGAGTGACTGGATGTCACAGTTGAATACATTTAAGAGAGATGTTTCCTGAAGGCTGCTTGGTGGAAGGTTTTCAATTCACTTGGCAACCAACAAAGTGTGAGTGTGCTGCTCGCCCATGCATTTCAGATTTCACATCACCCGTAACGGGGCCGTCCTACTTTTGGTGCAAGAAGCTGGGCATTGACCCCCCAAGGAACACACACATGTGCAAAAAACATGTTGCTTCTTGCATTTTTGACTTGTACATACCATCTAGATGGCCTCGGAGGCATTCCAAAGGAATTGCTGTCGAGCAGGCTGAGACTGCCAAGATAGAAGAAAGCACAACCGATGCAGCAAGAGCATTCAGTGCCCCCAAAATAATATACTAGTATGCTCCGCTGTAAAGGGTGGGTTGGTGTTGTGTCAGTCACCCTGAATTGAAAGTGGGCAAGAAAGCGAGAAAGAAAGGTAGCATCTAGAGCCACGCGATCTTCCATAATCAAGATTTTGCCAGCTTCTCGGTGCTCACCTGCCATGCAGCGCTCTGACATTGATCCCACCTTGTTTGCTCACGTTCTGTGCCTTTGAGATTCTGCGCATGATCATCCAGCATTGGCAGAATTGGCTCGAACGCATATTTTTTGACCCTGGTTCCTCACATTGTTGCAGTCTATACCTGCAAAATGCTTCGCGGCTGCAATGCCTTGAGATCTTCTGGGTCATTCCACACTGCTCTATTTGACAGAAGATGCGACCGGAGAGCACGTTTCGCCCTTTTGCTCGCGTCAGGTCCTACAAAGGCTTTGATGCCACACCCCAAGCGCAGGGCCTCTATGACCCTCGATACGAAAAGGACAGCTGCGGTGTTGGAATGGTCGCAGACCTCACAGGCGTGATTTTTGAGAGACGGATGGGCGGTGCGCTTGCTGCGCTGACACTGACATCCCCATTTTGGGTGCTAAAGCGATCTTGTGGAACTGGCGCATTTTTGTTTGGTTTTCTGATTTATGAGATTTCTCTTTGCCATAGCGACAAGATGTCCTGGCGTACTAGTAGATAGTGCTTGCCGTTGCCCATATTTTCAAGTCATTCTGCCGCCAGGCAAACCAGCACGAGACATCGTTGATGGCGCACTGCAGGTGGGGCTTGCCATTTTCATTTCTAGAATGGTTGAAGCATTGGTAAAGTGGAGGCGCACCGCGGAAACCCACCCAGTTGTTCCGGAAAAAGAACGCCCAGACAGAGAGAGAGAGAGAAAGCACGAAGACCACAACTACGAGAAAGTACGAGTGTTCCGAAAGGTGCTTCTAATAGCTTCTTTGTTCCTAGTAGCGATGCACTTGTTACTAGAACTCTTCTTGCTCTCGCTGCGAGGTGCTTGAAAACTTGGATCATCGAGGCGCCCGGGGCTGCGAGAAGGACCGGGAGTGAGTTCCTAGACACCCCACCGCGGACGAGTGAGAGACGGATGTTCTCATGGGGTGAAGAACATGCTGTTTGTAGCGGAAAACAGTCTTCCACAGGGCCATTTTCCACAGAAACATGTTTGTCTTTGGGAGTGTCGGGGTCATCTCTTTTGCCCCAGGACACAGGAGATGGTGCAGGTATTCTCTGTGGGATTCCCGACAAGTTTATGCGGCGTGTAGCATCGGAGTTGTCAGTGGAGCTGCCTCCTCCGCGCCAGCGCTTTGGCTGCATCCACGGCATTTCATGCGCGTCATTTCGTGCACACACTTTTCTGCTTGTTCACTCGTATGGACCACAACATGCAGCTTTTTACATGCCAGTGAATGTGATTCTTGAGGTACGCAGTGGGGAATGTGTTCTTGGACCAAGGTCAGGATGCAAGGGAGGAGTCGAGTTTAAGACACCTAGTGGTCGATTTGCAAGCTCATCTAAAGTATACTACGACAACCCGAAGTAAGAGCACCTTTAGAATCTTCCATGATTTTGTGCAAGACAAGTGCATTGGTATACTTGCATACAGTACAATAGAGGAGCAGTCGTGGATTGTGTTTCGCTGATCGTTGCTTTGTATGCCATGTTGCAGCATTTTTGCAGCATTGTTTGCCTTGTTCAAACGAAGGGAACGATTCCATTACGGAGACTGACAGTTGTTCAGGTGAAGAGGGCACCAAAGAAGGAAAGCGTATTTTTGAACAGATTCTTTCCTGCAAGTATTTTGTTGCTTTGCTTTGCACTTAGAGAGGCCCGTGGATCTCTCAAGCAAGCAAACAACGCTTTTTGGGTTGGAATGACCAGAAGAGAAGGCTGAGAAATATTTGTTGGAGCTCTCTGACACAGCCCACTCAATCCAAATTCTATCACAAATTCTATACAGAAAAGGGTACCGGGTGAAGAAGAACGATCGCGGGATGGATTTGGTCCATTATGAGAGTTTGAAGTTTCCTGGACTTTCGCTTGAGGCATTTGTTTGAGGCCATCGCTATTAGGTTGGAGGGTCAGGTTGGAGGCCATTGCTTGTAGGTTGGAGGCCTTTTGCTATTAGGTTCCTTTTGCTACTTTCGTTTGGCCATTGGCCTTTAACCTCAAAGCCGCTGAGGGTCTTGGGGTCGATTCCTGGACTTCGTTTGCTCTTGTGGCGGCGAGTACCTGTGGATTCGGAGTGTCTGGGGAAGACGGTGGCCGGGCTGCAGACGGATGTACCGGGCGTTGCTTGGGGTGATGGCCTAAGAGATGGGGGATCGCTCTCAGCCATGAATGGCTAAGGCCAAAGATCATGAGCCAACAATAGAGCAGGTCTTCATTGCAGCAGAAGGCACCTTGGCTTTGAGATTTTTGATTGGACTGTGATATACCATACCTTTGAGAGCTCCAAATTGCTTCAGATCTGTGAGTGCAAAATTGAAGAAAAGGTCCTTTCTTGTGCAAAAAGGTTGTTGCCGACACTTGCTTACACTTACATGTTTAGACAACATGTAGAAAAGCACAAATGCACAATGATATTATTGTAAGGATCTAAGTGTAACAAGCTTCGAGTCATTTGTTGGTGTACTTGGACCTTCTATTCTATCATCAGTCATAAAATTTGGTTGTTTTTGTTCCACTTTTGATCCTGGAGGGCCATTGATTTTTGATTCTAGCTGCTTCGCAGCTACTGGTAAGCCTAAATAGTCAAGTTAAGAGTTTGTCTACGTCTAAGACGGGGAACACCTCAAAGAGCCCTGGTCAAGAGGAAAGTAAGAACCAGTGGTTGTGGGGTTTGTTTCTTGAATTCCGCTCGAGGCCAACTGAAGACCGATTTGAAGCGCTTCGAAGCAGCCTTGTTTGTGCTGCGAAAGCGTTCAGCAAACCTTGCAGCGCAGCAGCCAGGGCTGCCATTCTATGCAGCTGGGCTGAATTTGTAATCCATCAACCAATGTGTTTTATCAGGAGGGCTTTTGGATTCCATGGAGGTCACAAATCGAGATATTTAAAGGTTACACGTAAATGATGGCTTTCCTGGTGAGGAATAGAAGTGATGAAAACAGTTGAGTTAAGTTTCCACAAAACATCTAGGAACCATATCATTAGTGCTTCTTCAAGGAAGCTCCATGCCGCCCTCAGGCGGGGGGAGCTTCCTTGAAGAAGCGTGAGCTATCCTGCGTCCTAGCTAGGAGGCGCAGACTTATATAATTAAGTAGGAGTGGGCTATAAAGACAAGGCTTTCCTATTGGGGAACAGGTCTCGCTTGGATGCGAAAGCAAGGTGTGCTCCCTATCTCCTCGAGTGTTGAACTACAAGGGAATGCTGACGTGCCCAGGAGCGACGTTTGTGCCTCCTTATTGACTTCATAGAAAAAAGTAGCAGTGTACCATCAGGTCTCTATCTTTTTGAGCCATGTCAAGTTTTAAGCGCTTTCAGCCCTGCAGGTTTAGTGCGCTACTTTCTGGATTTGCAGGAAGATGATTTTGAGTCTCATGTTGCGCTACTTGCTCGAACTCTTTAGCATTTGCGATATATTTGGTGTTTTTGTGGAGAACGCTACCAGGAACAAGTGCATCGCTACTAGTAACAAGTGCCTTACTACTAGTAACAAGAAGCTAGTAGTAACAATAAAGATTCAAATACTCCTGTTTAAGTTTAATTGGAGTAGGAACAAGGACGCTCCACGGTTCCTCCGAACTGGATGTGCGTCCCAAGGTTGGTGCATAGTCGCTTCTCGACCAACACTTTTCCAGCTTGGCGACGAGCGCATCCCTTCCGGCATATTTGTCACAATGGTGAAATCAACACGCTGAAAGGCGTGAACTGAAGCATCGGTGTGCGATGTTCACTGCAAAGCAGGTTAGATGGCAGAACGTTATACGGGTCAAAAAATGGTCAAGCTACTTTGTCTGAGTGGGTTCGGACCTTTTCCTCTGAATTTCATGAAGGGTCCACAACGCCGTACCCAATCCGGGTTGGGCGCCCAGCCCGAAAAAAGCTCGGCCGACGCAGTGGTTCGTGGTGGCTTTTTGGCAGGAAACGTCAACTTTGCGCGAGCCCGAGAAGGTCTGATGAGCTCTGAACTCTTGGGAGCTGAGCTGGAACAGTGCTTTCCATTGATGGAGATGGACGGAACCTCAGGGGAGTGCATCCCACGGAGATCATAATCGTAGCAATGATCCGTGCGGAATGGTGATCCGTGCCAACTAAGGATCAGACCGACAGTGGCATTTTTGACAACTTCCTGGAGGTCCTTGCGATCTCAGGTGTGGGGCAGTATGCAACACATTGGCCTGTGAGGAAGATTGTGTTTGCCCATGTTTGCCCATTGGTTTGAAGATTTGATGGTTCAACCCTTCCACCCAAGGGGCCCAGCCATTTCACCGCCTGGGCAGGGCGTAGCATGCCTGAAGCGGTTGCAATGATGATGCCTCCAGCATGGGCCACTTGCAGCTTATGTTCGCGCAATTCATGCAGACCGCAGTTTTAGAGAAACGATAGTCTCATTCACTAGTTCTTCATTTCTCTTGATTAGCTCGCCAGTTCCTTTTCCTTGTGTTTTCTTCAGTAGTGTTCTGCTGGTGCTAGAGTGCTCCGCAAACGTCTAGGAGAATGCAGAAGAGTCCATGGATCCAAAGATCCGTGACTACTACAAGTTTCAAGCTGCGCTTCTGGAGCCTTGGGACGGACCAGCCCTGGTCTGTTTCACCGATGGCGATGGCGTAGGAGCTGTGTGCGGGGTTTCCAGATAGTCATGAAAGTCATGGAGCGTTTTTTTTTTCCATGAGATCTCTCCTACAACCTGTTGCTTTAACACAATTTCACACTTTCTTATCAAAAAGAACCTGCTAGTAACAAGAAGCTATTAGGGTGGTGGAGGCCATCGCTATTAGGTTGGAGGCCATCGCTACTAGTAACAAGAAGCTACTAGTAGCTTCTTATTTTTGACTTGTGCTTTCTTGTCTCGAGGAGCTTCGCTCGATCGGAACGGGCTTCGTCCATGCCGATATTACGCAGCTCGGTGACATTGGTGGACAACAGGATGGTGACTTACCAAAAACACAGGAGTGTTGATGATGGTGATCCAGCTTCATTAACATCAGAACATTTGAGCAGTGATCGACCATGTAGCACCCGACATATCCCTGGTTGCCTAGTTTGCATGAATTCGTTGATTTGGTTTTTGCTTACAGCAGACCAAGCAGAACAGGGGACATCCGTGACATGCGTGACATGTCGAAGGTGACGAACGAGAAGAGGATGATTATCTCCTCAGAATGTGGAGTTCTCAAGCTTCCAGCCGAATCCATCGTTGAGAAGGGACGTTTGTCTCCCGGTGCTGTGTCCTGATCAGTGGGCGAATCGGTGTGGGTGTCGTGGTTTTCTGTCAAGTTCTGCTCACAAGTATCAATAGTTACATAGCTCAATGCATTTGATTTGGGAGGTGGGTTTGGAGTGAGCATGCGTCAGAAATACGCAATCACGCGAGATGGGTTTGGAGGTTGCTGACCTCCAAGCATGGGGAGAGGGATTCTTTACTCTGCAGATTTGCGCTGCTGAGGCCACCTTTAGATTTGTAGGCTGAAGATAAGACAGCCCCGACCGAGTCCCCATCCATCAAACTCTGGTGGACTCTTGTCAGAAGGTTCGGCACTTAGGATTATCGCACCTCAAACATGAGCTTAAATGAGCTTCGTGAGCCATGAGAAAGGTTGAGGTATTGAGCTGCTGAGTAAAGCCACACATTTGGCAGGTAAGATGCTGTGGGCTGACTTTGCCAAGGGCACATTGACCAAGGACCGGTTTCCTGAACCATCATGGGAACCCTTAGTCCTTTCCACCCAAACTCAATCTGATGTGACGCTCTCCAGGACTCAGAGCTGAAACAGTCCTTCGCTGCGCCCTCGCCCTGGGGCGACTGGCTCAAAAACGAGTCCATTACAATGAAAACTCTGTGCCTTGGGCCATGCCTGGGGTATTTTTTGGGAAAGGAGTGTGAAAGCAAGACTGGCTGGAATATAGATGGTCAGGTCAAGACATGTACATGCGCTTGACACTTCTCGGAGGTTGAGCTCATGGAATGTCAGATCAAAGTCTGAGAGGGAACAGAGGGTTTTGACTTTTGCAACGTAATGGCTGGCCCAGTGTTGAACGGATTGACCTAATCATACCTAACCCAAAGGCAGGCTTGAGCATCTCCAGGCGGAATTTGCCATGAGAGCACCCGATTGAGACTCTTTGAACTTCTTTTTGACCCTTGAAAACTTGTCCTGAGGCTGGCTGCTAAGAAGCCAGCAACCAACATCACCGACGACCTGCGAGCGCCCTTGCTGCGGAGCTTTGGATACACCCAGGACACGTCATGATGTTGGGAGCTTCCAGAAGCCGCCACGGAGCTTCCAGGTTTTGGTCGCGTGGTTAGTGTAGGAAGTAAGCAGAAACGAAGCAGAACAGCTCAGGATGCCCAGCCGATGGTGCAAAGAGTGTTAGGAATGGCCGCCAGCATTGGGGTTGCCCTCAATCAACTGAATTGTTGCAGAACTGTGCGACAGGAGTCACTTGAGCTTCTGCTACTTCCAATGGGCCGGGATGCTTTGACGAACATATTTGCGTGTTGCTTCATTGAGAGAAGAGATAATGTACAGGGAACAGAGCCTGCCGAGTATGTGTAGCCTTTGCAGGTTGGAATGCAGATAATAGCCTTCACACCAAACCAAGGATGGAGAAGAAGCCCTTGGTAGCATGGGCAATGACACCCCATTGGCATGCCTCTCTGAGCAGAATCGACCAGTCTTCGACTTCTTCTACCAGCTTTTTGCGCAGGTGTGAGATCAACATCCTCATTTATGCTTCAAGAGGAAGCTTGTTAGGAAACTGCTTGGTAGTGGTTAATATTGCAGTTTAGGTTCGGGCTCTGGGATTTACCTTCAATGTTCATCAAAGGGACTTTGGGTGGTTCCAGTGCCGCGAACAGCCGGCAAGCTTTTACCATAGTCTCTGGTAAGCAAGGCATCAGTAGCATGAGCCAAGTGACCCCAATGGATGCTTTTCCTCATATTGTTCTGGTAGAAGGGTCCAAGAATTGTGTTGGGAAGATGTCAGTTCAGTTTTCACAACTTCGAAGAGGACACTGTTGGAGCTTGTCCTTTGTCGGCCATATCGGGTCATTGTCCGCTTGTCACTTAACTCGATTCTCGCAGTACATTTCGCACTTCCCCTCTTTGGAGCACGTTGCTTTTATTCTCGGAATAGGTTTAGCTGCATTTGTTAAGTTGTCAAATATTATACACCCTTTCTGTACTAGGACTAGGAGCTGCGCATGTGCTTGGTTTTAGACTCAAAGTCCTTGCTTTGTGCATTTCCTTGAAACAAGAAGCGCTGTTGAATGCACTCTGCCACATCTCCAACCTTGGCAGGTGACCAACCCACCCATTGACCCTATCAGAGAGGCGGTGGTGATGAGCCTAGGCCGGCGGCTGATGATTCCATTGCCCTCCTTTTGTTGCGTTTCGGAACGTTGGCCCAATGGCAGGTTGCTGGGTGGGTCCTGAGACGAATGTCCTGGCCAATCCAAGCCCCCGCCATTGCCAGCGGCTTTGGCTCGACCACCCATGCTTGCTACCAGCCCTTTGGCCGATCATCATCAAAGGCACTTGTGAGTCAGCAAGACCAGACTGCCAGAACAGAGAGAGCCTCGATTGCGTGTGTTCTTTTGGTGGGTTACGTAGGCCTGATTGAAGGTAGGTCATTCTTCACCCACCCAGGTCCCAGGTGTTCAATGCACTTTTGTTTTGTCCTTACTTCAACTGGGTCAACGTGGGCTTGTCCTAGAATGAGGACACTGCCCTTCAAGACGAGACCCTCAGGCCAGAGGCCTCGAATTTGGGAACCTGGCACCCTGTGCTTCCGCCTTTAGGCTGAGATGGCTGCGCTGCCGATGACGAAGGATTTGAAGGGTTGGGAGATGCGAACTGTGGATAGCACCTTCCCCATGGCCGAAGGCGTGTTTGCGAGAAGTGTAGAGCGGTGGGTGGACTCGCACCATCATCGGTGTCGAGGGTGCCTGAACATGTTTGGTGCTGAGATTTTGGTCAATTTTAGAATTATATGCCCTTGTCGGTCGGTGCTATTTGGGTGCAGTGGAGTTTCCATTTTGGAGCAGTTTGTTTTTACATTTGTCACGAAGGGCCGTAGATAGAAGGCTTTGGGTCAGCTGGGTAGGAGGGCCTCTGTATCAAATTAAGACGTTCAATGTGGGTTTTCCTAATTGTTCTTGTTGCAAGGGGTCTTGTGGGGCTCTCCTCTTCAGACACCACTTATATAACGTGGAACAGCAGGTGCCGCTGGCATGGAGCGGCACTTGGTGCGCGTGGCCAACGAGGCTGTTTGGGCGGCCAAGTGCCTTTGCCTCAAACAGTCACAGTTCCGGAGCAAACCCTGGAAGATTGCCCCTACAAACAGGTGGTTTTTCCACTTCAATTACAATACCTGGGAGTGTAGTTTTCGTTGAATGCCTGTGGGGGATTGTCGGCGGTCGACAGTTGTCGATGGCGTTTTCAAGTCTGCGGTCCCCGACGCAAGTTTCGATCATTGTCCTTTGTTTTTAAGTTTGCTTCTTGCTCCTAGTAGTAATGGCCTTCACCCTAGTAGCGACGGCCTCCACCTGGCAGCTTCTTGCTCCTAATTGACTGAAAGAGGTATGCTGTTGGGATTTGGCAAGTGTTGGTTTATTTGAGATTTGACGGCTGCCGATGAAGCCGAGGAATGGCTACCAGATCATCGTCCTCTCTGACAGGAGATCCATGTTGTTTCTGTGAATGTTACTTCTTGGTTTCGAGCGATTGCTGGCTTTCCTGGCTACCTGACCAATGGACCCCGCAAACCCACACAGATGAGCCCACAAGATGAACCCTAACAACAAGCATGGGCAGGTCAAGACAGTCGCTCAAAGAGAACGGAAGAATCATTTGTGGACCATGTAGCTATTTGTTCAAAGTGTTGTTATTGTGTAGACGGTTGGGTGCTTTACTACTAGGAACAAGAAGCTACTAGGGGCTCCTGGCCTTACTATTAGGAGCAAGGGCGCTACTAGGGGCTCTTGGCCTTACTACTAGGAACAAGAAGCTACTAGGGGCTCCTGGCCTTTCTACTAGGAACAAGAAGCTACAAGGGGCTCCTGACCTTACTATTAGGAGCAAGGACGCTACTAGGGGCTCTTGGCCTTACTACTAGGAACAAGAAGCTACTAGGGGCTCCTGGCCTTTCTACTCACGGGACTTGCGGTCGCTGTCTGGCGCGCGCTTCCTACGGTCCTTCTCCGTATTGGAGGGTACCGAGGAGTGTGGTACATATCTTCTTGTAAGACGAGGTGAAAAGGATGGAACTATACAGATGCTACGAAAAACCAAGTATGAATTGTGAAAGGACGAATATGCAAGCACCTAATTGGGTGCGGGTGGCACCGTGACACCATCGAGATCACCCCCTTTATGCCACGTTTCACGAAGCTTCCGACGATACAAGAAGCGCTGGCGAAATGGAAGGGGGATAGCCGGTGGGGCTGCAAAGGTGGGTAACACATGTCGCATTGGTATCAAGCCATCTGGATGGAAGGGTGGTTTACACTTGAGGTCTTCGACATATCGTGAAAGGGTACGTTGGACAAGATCGGAGTTTGGGAACTCAGGCCGCAGGGGCATACCCCCGGTATATGATTTGCCCCAACCAATTTGCGTGAGACTGATGGAGCCAGTCTTGGTAAATTTCGGCAGAAGAGGTGTGTCCGAATATCCCTGGAGATAGAGGACAATAGTACGAAAAGCCTCGGCTTGCTCCCGGAGGGACCTCTTAATGGTGGGTAGGGCTAGGACCCGTGGGTCTTGCCAATGAACTGGTTGGGCACGGTCTTCGTTATCAAGATGTATCCAGGTAGGAAATTGGAGTCCGGTATTGATAACGAAAGCAATAGTAAGTTCAAGCCATGTAATGCCTGCAGTCACAACTGAATCAGAGTGGTTTAACGTAGGATCCGGCCATCGTAGGGCGGCACAAAACTGAAGAACTAAGTCCGCATATTGGTTGCCCCATACGCAAGCAGTAACAAACGCTGGATGGACATATGGGTGAAAAATTTGGACTGAAGTGTGAACTGTGTAGACTGCTCTGGATCGATATAAGGTACCCCAATCAATAGATGCGTCATGTGACGTGTCTACACGAGCTGTATGGGTCTGTTTTTGCCTGGCTTGAGAATGTGACAAATTAAGGTCCGCAAGATAGGAAAGGATACACTTAGTTTGACGAAATTGATCCTGATGCCAGATTTCTGCTTGTCGGAAAAGGGCATCAACACGGGCGTGGTCGGTCTGACGGGCTCGAACGGCAGCGTGATCTGCCCACTCATTTCCAAGGACATCGTTCCGTTCCGGACCAGGGGGTACGTCATTAGGATCTTGATGGGAACGAACTTTTCGCAGGGTAAAACGCAACGGATCCCAACATGCAGCGAGGATTTGAAGAAGGTCGGCATTCGCAAGCTTATGCCAGGATGGTGGTCGGACTGCTTGGGAGACATGTGTGATAGCATTAATGGCATATTGGGAATCAGTAGTAATGGTAAGCCGGTGTGGCCAGTGTTGCTGCTTGGCGTGTTGCACAATCCAAGTGATGGCAGCAAGTTCAGCTCTGGCAATAGTCTGTGGGCCCTGTACATGTTGAATTTTGATGGTGAGATAAGATTGGTTGAATGTCTCGGGACAGAATTGAATAAGTGACCAGGCCGCACGGCGTGTCCCTGGATGTATGGGTGTATCCGCTGACCCATCTGTATAGAAGTAAAGGGTATCACCGCCAAGATGGATTGGGGTATGTTCGGTATCTTGCCCTCGGAAACCCAGGAGTTGACGGAGGATGGCAAAATCAGGGAAAGAATGTGGAAGTGGAAACCATAACTTCTGTGGATTGTGAGTGAGGTAGGCAATTGCTTGTGGGTGGCGTTGCCGAACAGCCGAACAGCCATAAAGGTTGGACAGTCAAGTTGTTGGTGTGCATGTGTATCTGGCTCTCCGCAATGTGGACATTGGGTATCGACTGTGGATGTCCATTGGGCTTTAACTGCTCCTACTTGGTATCCACCGGTAAGGTTATACGCAATTTGACGAATGGCGGTGGATGACATAGATCGTAAGACTCGAGACAAGACAGTGTAGTCGAATGGTACAGAGGGGACCCCTTTACGATGGCAAATTTGCCGATTGAGATAATATGCCCACGAGTGACGGAGTGTGCATCGAATATGGCGCAGGGAGTCACGCTGTAAGGATATAGATAAATATCCATCAAGTGTGAGAGTCCCATCAGTGGTTAGAGACCAGCCGACAAGTTGTAGGTACCTAGCGAGGGCGCCGGCCGGTCCGATTGGATTTCCCTGATGGGCGATGACCGAATTAACAAAATCTTGCGCCTGAGGCGGATTTGTATGATAGAGCCGACGCACAAAGGACAAACCTGTGGCAATTACATAAAGAAGGGGATCCTGTAATTGAGAACTGAACAGGTGTACGGCGAGCCAGCTTGATATCTGTGTTTCCGGACCTACCAAAGCAGTAGTGGCCTCGCGGCGAAGTGTTCGAAAATGCTTGTCACCAACGATTTGATTTTCAGCTCCGAAGAAAGCGTGCGGCCAAATGGCCGTCTGTATAAATTGTGCTTTATGAGCAACGGTAGTCTGAAACCATCGCAGCCTCCGGCATCGTTGCACAGCGCTGTTGATCTTGGTCTTTAAGTGTCCCAGGGTAATATGACGTGTATAATGTGTCATACATCCCAGGTCTTTGCTCGAGTTGAGGACACTGATCTGGTTGTGATCGGCAAATTCGTCTGCAAGAAAATCTTTCGAATCTGTACGCGCTTCTTTAGTTGCCCCCCAGGCCCATGACTTGGCGAAATCTATCTTCATGCGTAAAGCTTCAACCAAGTGCTGAATTCGATAGAAAGCTTGAATATTATCTCGCTGCGTGGTCGTGAGGTAGGACCAGTTGTCTGCATAAGCATATGGGAAAACTGTAGGGGACTGAAGGGTCCAATAAAATGCTGAAGAGACCACTAACATAGCACAGACAGAAAGGCTATCGCCTTCTGGGACACCTGTAGTCATAGTGATGGTTGGGCCAACTTGTTGCCGAATCTGAAGTCGGCGGGTCATGTGGCTAAGATTAGTGAACCAAAAATGGATCGCAGCTGCCGGGGCCCCATGATGAATTAGTAAGTGGTACAACACTCTGCGAGGCAAGAGGTTAAATGCTTTAATGAGATCCAACGTAAAGCCGCGCCATGGCAAGGATCGATTCTTTGCATTTTCAATCTGATATTGTTGCATAAATGTAATGTCTTGGACACTGCGGAAGGGTAAGCCGCCGGAAATGGCACTTGGCCAGGTATATGTCCATTGGTTTAGGAGTTGATCTGCAATGAGTTTAGAGGTGAGGCGGCTGATATATCCCAAAATGGTAATGGGACGGCCGTCGGAGATTGATGTGGGTGGCGCACGCTTGGCTAAAAGAATGACACGGGCAATTAACTGATGTGGTGCGAGACCCTGAGGCCATATGGACGCGAGAATAGTGGCAAAATCTTGAATGGCGGCTTGAGGTAATGTCTGGAGCTCTTCAGCTCTCCAGCCGTCAATGCCGACTGCTTTAAAAGGTTTCAACTTTTGAATCGTCTGTGAGATGAGGTGAGGATCGCCCCACCGAACTGTAAGTGGTGCTGTTGGTGGGATACGGCTACGGAGCGACTGCAGAAGCTCAGACCAGGAGTCATCCATTTGTTCGTCCATTTGAGAGTCACGGTTCCAAAATTGTGACCAATAAGTCTGAAATGGTTCTGCCATGTCAGGCAGGTCGAATGCATATACTTCTTGGGTAAGATCGGCATACGTAGGGGCGGAACCTTCAAGAATCTGACAAGTGACGTGATGCTCCTGTTGGTCGAGAATACGAAGTAAGGCAGATCCAAATCGTGCTGCTGCAAATAAGCGAAAAGTGTTCGGTTGGTGAATAATCAAATGCAGTGGCCCCTTTTGTGTTCTGCACACAGTGGCAGGGGTACGAAGCTGGATGGGGAAACCAGGTAGTAACTTGACATCTTGGGCTTTAAGCCTTTTGTAATATTGGGAGCTCGACTTGTACTGTACATCAAGGTCAAGGCCATGTTTTTGGGACTGACGCTGTAGTTTGGCCTCTTGTTGGCTATAGAGGTCTGCGTCATATTGAGTAATCTGTCTTACGGTATAGAGGTAGTCGAAGGTGGGAAGCTCAACTGGCACAGCAGTAACGGCTTCGAACTGCAAGATCCATCGATCCCATGATCGACCGTAACCCTGGGCTTGACGGATTGCTTGCCATAAATGCGTCATATCCTGAAAGGGAAAAGAAGACCCCCCAAGAGGCAGAAACTGTTGCGTTAAATCATGCTTATGGTATAAGCGTTCCAGACACCGTAGACGTCGAACTTGACGAACCTTATGGCGACTTTTGAGTGAAGTGACTTCAGTGGGTGGTTCGTAAAGCCCCATGCTATCTCGTTTTGGTGATTTAGGACAAGGTGTACGAATCAAGCGAGGGGTCGCACAGCGTCCTCGGAAAAGCTTTGGCAGAAAACCCTGTGGGTTTTTGAGGGGGTCGATTCGTTTCTGCTGTCGTAGAGTACCATCGATGGCCTTCTCCACTTGGGAGGACCATTGGTATAAGGCGGCGGTAGGATCTGATAGTTGTGAGTTAGGAACAAACTGACGAT